GTCGTGTGTGTGTGTGTGTGTGTGTGTGTGTCGTGTGTGTGTGTGTGTGTGTGTGTGTGTGTGTGTGTGTGTGTGTGTGTGTGTGTGTGTGTGTGTGTGTGTGTGTGTGTGTGTGTGAATGCATGCGTGCGTGCTTGCGTGTGTGTGTGCGTCTGAGTGTGTGCGTGCATGCATACGTGCGTATATTGCTTTCGAAATGCGTTGTGCAATAGCCTTACCTGTACGACCGCAATCTTCTCGGAAGCCTGGTGCCACGCAGCGGGCATCGCTAGACTATCCCTGTTAGTGATGCCGTGACTGATAACAGAGTGCGCCTCGTTGGTGTGCTTCATCTCACCAGACTCCCAATTCCAGAAGCAGAGTTTGCCCTTACTCGTGTAGGTGGCCGCCTCCTGCTGCTTGGGTTCCATGTAGAGGATGAACGCACCTCGGTTCGTGTACTGTTTCACGTAGCTTGCGTAATCAGCGTTGAAGACATCGACAGCGTCTTCGTTAACTAGCGCCTGCTTAAAGCTAACGAAAATCATGCGACTGTCGGGAGAGAAGGAGAAACACTTGATGTGATAATCACCATCACTAATGCTGGGATTCGCCAGCTTTCTGATTTTACCGGTCTCCATGTTCCAGACGTATATTTTACTTCGCCCCACTTCTAGTTTAGACCTTCCAGAATCGACGAGAACCATGGTATCGTCATTGGAGATTATTGGTTTCAGGCGAAAGACCGCGTAGTCGCTCTCTGGCATCTCCACTGTGTTCGCCATTGGGGAGGATTTAACGATGGTTTTGGAATCCAGCAGGTCAAGCTTAATTTTTCCCGCGTCTTTGTAAATTGTTTGTAAAACCAACATGCTTCCGTTCGAAGTGAACACACTGTCGTAGAACTTATCGCCGGCCGTGTCGACGTCATCCCTAGACACGTGCGTCGCCGTCATGACGTCATTCATACGATACGAGCCGACGCGCTTTCCTGCTCGATAGACGAGTCGGTCCAGCTGATCCTCTTTACTGGTAACGAGCAAGCCGATAACGCCACCCAAGTACGACATAAAGCTTTCCTCCGTGCTATCCAGCACGCGTTCTATATTTTGAGGTTCTGATGACCAAGGATTGATCAGCGACACTTTCATTGATTTGGCGGCCCATCGATTATCTCCAGGTTCCACTATGACAGCACGTTCGACGGCAGGTACGTAGTATACTCCAATAGGCACCTCGCCGACATAACGTATGATTTCGATCACGGTGCCGTCTCGCCACACATTTACAATCGTTTGTTGATCTCCGCTGATCGAGTGAATGATGAGGCAATCGTTGTCGACAACGTGAAAATCGAGATGCGTTGAATTTGGCACAGAAATCTCGGTCGAGTACAATTCTTCCGTGTCGATATTCCACATTCGGATTTTGTCTTCGCCGAGACTGTAGGAGAGAACGAATTCACCGTTCTCGCTGAATTTACAGCAGCTAATTATGCTGTTAGTCAATTGCTGAAATCGGCGCAGTATCACCCCACTGGAGATGTCTTGCACAATAATAGCGCTTTGTGGCGATGCAGCTGAGTCAGACTGTTGTTCGGTATCGTTTGATGCTAGAACTTTTTTATAGAGACCAAAGGCGACGAGGTTAGCTATTACGTTACAGCAGGTGGGAAAATACTCCCAGGTATCGCCGATCATCAGGTGCGATTTCACAATTTTCACTTCGTTGCTGTTCTTATCCACCACGGCCACGAATTCTCGCGAACCAAACAGAACTCCGACCTCTCCATCGCGCCTGAATGCTTTGCAATGCGCGTAATTCTTGAAATAGTCCCACTTCACTATCGGCACGTTTAAGTGGTTATCCAAAGGTACTGACGAAAGAGTGGTGAAGGTCTCAATGTCCACCAGGTGGAGCTCGGCAGTTCAACGTGCCGGCAGGTGGAGCTGGGCAGTTCAACGTGCCACCAGGTAGAACTGGGCAGTTTAACGTGCCACCAGGTGGAGCTCGGCACCGGGACCCGCCATGTCGAGGTTATTGACGTCCGATGTGCAGCAGATAAGAAGGTTGGACTGTGGTAAGAGGTCTATGGCCCAGACGTTGTTGCTAAACGAAGCCGATAGGTTGATAGTGCGCGCAGCTCGCGGGTCAAGCATGATCTCAATCCATGAGTTGTTACTCGTCCATTCCTCGGCCTGCTCCTTCAGGTCCTCGACCTCGGCGGTGTGGTTCGCAGCGCACTGGTATACGAGCTGCGGACATTCTTGGAGGGCTCGAGCGTTGATCGAAACAAACTTCTGGTAGTCGTTGATTTTCTCCTTTTTGCGACGAAGCTTAAGATAATTTTGCAGCGTCACCTTGTTGTTGTTTGATTCTGAGATGTGCTCGTGGCAATAGTCTTGCAGCAGGACGGCGGCCATGTTGGGTGACGGAGTGCGCAGCTTTCTCTCGATGTACTTCAGATTGCACATCATTTTGGTCACCTCGTTCTCGAATCCGTCCACTTCTGTGTAATGATGAATTGCATGTTGGATCGCATATTCGAGCAGTTCAGGGCATCTGTCTGGCTTGCCGCTATAGAATAACTGGAGCGCTTTCGTGCAAAGTTGCCCTAGCTCTAGGTGACCGTCATGCACGATATTCGCAGACCCGTGGTGAGTCGAATCTAGGAGCCAGTCTCGCACGGACTTGTGACAGAAGTGAACTCTGCTATTCGTAATATTCACGTGTCTGGATATCACGGAAAGAATTTCGTTCGCATCTTTCTTCAGATCCAGAAGGCCGATGTAGTAATTTAAAATGTTTACGTGCAGTGGCTCCTGGCAAGCTATTACAACAGCCAACAGACTCTTGTATTTACTAATGTCATTGATCTCGTTCTTGAGCATCTGAAAATCTCGCCTGTAGAATTCAGAGAGCGAATGGACGTGTTTTATGAGTTCTTCCATGTCAGAGACTGCCAGCACCTGGCCAGCGTTTCGTCGTCGCTGTAACTCACTAATCACACAGTCAGCGTAGCGGAAATTTGGACCGTCTTGACAAATTAACTCGGCAGCTTTGTGGATTTCATCGTTCGTCTGATAGATCTTCACCAGTTGCTCCGCAAGATACGCGGCCATGGTTCTGTCGTTTCCCGGGATGCCATTTCTCTCTAGGATCAGCCTCTCAGTGCCCGACAGGCCATCGACTATGTTATGTACAGGCCTCGTGGTCACAAGCAGGTATAGCCACTTTGGCGTTTTCGAATGGAATCCCTTAATGAAGTTGATGAGCAACTTTTGATTCTCGAGGCAGCATTCATCGGCACCATCGATAACAAGCAGCATTTTATCTGAAAACCTATTGAGAGCAGACAGGTGGTTACTGATGAGGTTATCGTGTAGATAATTGAAATCGGCATTTCCGACATCGTCCAGACACGTCTCCGGTATCAGCTTGATGTAGGTGTCGTTGATTTTTCTGTACAGTTGGAAAGCTACAGCGAGAATCATGTGTCTCAGATTGTTCCTACGACTGTCGTTATACTCAAAGAAGAAGGCTGACAGCATGCGAAGCATGAATCGGCGACAGACGGCGGCGGCGAGAGTTGTCTTACCAGAGCCTTGTTCCGCGGAAATCACAAACACCCGATTGCGTCCGTCGTCCTCTGTGACTTCGCCCTCTTCGTTATTAAACCACGCGTCTATACTGCGCAGAACCTCCGTCTGCTCTTGATACGTATCCGTGTCGACGTTGTGTTCGTTGTAGATGAAACGGAGAAAATCGATGTGGTAGGATTTCAGCGTAGAAACGAGTGCCTTCCTCTTAGCTGACTCCTGTGCCTCATAAAGGTTGGCAAGGGATCTGCAAATGTTTTCCTGTTTCGCGTAACTAGTGTCGTGTAAAATCTCTTCGATTCTAGCCTTCAGATTCTTTAGCTGCTCGTCGTTTGAATGTGATAAGACAATCTGCCACAGTTTATCACGGCCACTCGCATTTGGTTTACAGCATTTCATAATGAACTCAAATGATTCAGTGAGAACTGCTTCCAACTCTTCTACAAAATTCGGCTCCTTTTCGTTCTGAGATCGTGTTTTATCATTGTTCAGAATAATGGATAGCTTGGTTATTCGAATCCCAAACTCCGTGATCTCTCCTTGAACATCTTTTGCGAGTCTGATAGCGCCAAGGATTCCCTGCAAAAAAGAAAACATGTCCTTTAAACATACACATGGAAATGGTTAATATTGGGTTATAAAAGTACATAGAACCTAGATGACACGGCTAAACCGCGATTGAAGGAAGGTTCGCTGGTCTTAAAAATTGTCTTCTATACTAAATTGTTTAGAAATTGTCGTGTAGGAAGTGATCATCCGCGAAATCGAGGAAAACAGCATACAGTTATGTGTACGCAGAAGCGATTGTTTTGGGTGTACCAGCAAGATGGGGGGGGGGGACTGCTACGCTGTGGCGGAGGTAAATTGCTATCTCCGATTGCTCTTGTTAGTAGTATTAGATTAAATAATACCTTCCGCAAGTATATTTTAACCTTCTAATAATGTTAAATCGGTAGTCTTCCTTTTATAACGCTTCCTCTTATCTCCTTAGCGCTATCAAATAAAAACAACGCCTGCTGCCCTAGGTGAGGGTCGAACTCACAGCCTCCGCATGTCTCAGAGACGATATACTGTCTATAAGTACGGCGCGCTAACCGATTGCGCCACAAGGGCCTGCATGCACAATCAATGTACCTGTGTCTCTCTCTCCCTACCTCTTTGCATGCACAATCAATGTACCTGTGTCTCTCTCTCCCTACCTCTATTTTAATTAATTAATTAAAATTCAATGGCTGCCCTAGGTGAGGCTCGAACTCACAGCCTCCGCATGTCTCAGAGACGATATACTGTCTATAAGTACGGCGCGCTAACCGATTGCGCCACAAGGGCCTTCCACGGAGTAAACATAGTTAAACCGCGATTTTACGAGAGAAAAAAAACATTGTTTGCCAACAGTATCTGCGGTTCCTTGGTGATAACGTATATAGATATACAGACATTTCGCTGAGTGCAAGCTACGTTGGTTTTATATCTGTAATATATATATATATATATATATATATATATATAATAAATAAATAAATATATATATATATTATATATAAAGCGGGCAAGCATGTTTTGGTGAGCTCACAGATCGACTAAATGCAGCTGAGGGCATTAAATTAGCTCATAGCGCATTTGCTAAGCTGACAACGAATGACTGCAGGCGACAGATATTGCAAATCCAAGTGGTGGCTTTAGGCCACCTCGTCCGCCCCGCCGGTAGCCTCCAGCCCCCGTCAGCGTCCCCGAAACTATCCCTTCGCAACCGAAAATTGTTTCTTTTTTACCGGCATTTTAGTAATGCTAAAACAAGTACCATGGATATGCCTGATTGTATTACCCATAGGCATAGATATAGCATAATATAGGAAAAACAGAGCAAGCGCCAGGCAGGCACATCGGTTAGAGTTATTAGTAGGCACGTTTATAGTGTTGCCGGTCGTTATATTTGTTAATGGGGCCTAAGGCCACCTATACCGGTATAGATTGTAATAATAGATTTCAGTGCATCTACATGATATAATCCGTTGAAATTCCAGACGGCGGCACTATTGCTTGCTCGACGCATTGTTATTTATAACCAGCACCGTAAGGCCAGGGGGGGGTTCGGGAGGTTCGAACGCGAACCCGCCTCCCCGAAGCCCCCACCAAGCCAAAGAATTGCTCAAGCATTTCACCTCAGTCGCTTTCATTTTAAGTGTATATAATGTCGGCACAAATCTCCAATCGTGCTGGAGGGTAAACAATGGTGAACACCCCCTCCCACACCTCGCCCGTCGGCCGCCTTTGCTCTCTCGCCTTGTCGCGTTCGCGCTCCGCCAGGGCGGTTTACAAGGGTGGGTCCAGGGAGTCCGGACCCCCACCCCCCTTGCTCGCGCAGAAAACGCATCTGAGGGTGATTAAAAAAAAGTTTCTAGACCCCGCAGACCCCCATCTTCGCGTGCTCGCACTTGGGCTTATATCGGTAGACGCCCGCGGTAACAAATCCTGTACACGTCCCTGGCCGACAAATGCCACATTGAAAAACGAAACCACCCCCCCCTCCCAATATAAAGCTGGCTACGGCCTGTACGCATTGGTTTTAATACAAATTGAAATTGTTAGTTTAATAACTTGTCTTATTCACTCATATTTGCCGAAGTAGATTGCAAAGTCATGTGATGCACTAAAAACATTAATGCCTCTCGCTACCGCTCGGCACATATGACGCTTCCCTCAGCAACACAATGAGCCAGCATAGCACTATAGTGCCCCAACAAGAGGCATTAATCTATAAATAGTGCATGGGGGCCAGATGGCGTAGCTACGGGAATTTTTTCAGCGGTGTGGGGCATGGGGGACTTTACATTTTCGGTCGGGGGGCACAATATATAACTTTTCTTTGTATTATACTGTTTCTAACGGCATTGTTTTAATATCGATTTTTTTATCAAGCAATGGAATTTTCAGTGGGGGGGCATGGCAGTCCTGGGGGCAACAGTAAAATTTGGTGGGGGGCACGCCCCCGCCGTTTCCTGCGCCCCTGTATAGGGCTCAAGGCAACATATAATAGTACTGTATATTGACGGGGTGCCTAATCTCCTAAATCTCCTAAAGTGCCGCACACGCTCGTGTTTGTGCTGCGCCATCGGCACGCCGTGCTGATGGCGCAGCCCAAAACACAGCGTGTGCGCGTCAAACAATATCAACACTGTTTTACGAAAGCCCACGAAGGCCATGCGAAATGCGAAATGCGAAATGCGAGATGCGAATGCGAGATGCCGAAAATGCGAAATGCGAACTATGCGAGATGCGAAAGTGAATCATGCGAGATCGTGAATGTAACTGCGCTCTTTA